GAAGTGGGTTTAGATTCTCAGTGCTGTGCTTTTAACCCGCTGCGCCACCAGGGAGGGCCCTGTTTCTGAGATTTTATAACTGTATCATTATGAACATATTTAGGGGTTACAAAATTTAATTCCACTGTAAATTCTACTATAATGCCTGCCTCATTCTTCCAATTTAAATATTTTCCAGTTTGAATCTTTAAAAATCCTTAGAATGTACAACTGTACTGGTGTCAATAAAAAATAACTTTTCAAACACAGATATACATATATTTCTTTTTAAAAGTCATTTAATTTATTAAAATTAAAATTAAAAAAGCTTAAAATTCAAGCTGTTTTAGGTCTACTAATCTATATTAATTAATTTTACTGGTTAATTTTTAAAAAATCTTAGAGATACAAAGTTTTCTAGTTCTATTTTCTAGATCTCTCTGCAGGCTTATAATAATTTTCATGATCTCTGAATATGTTCTGGGAATAAACAGCATATAAACAGTTTTATGCTTTTCTCCAAAACTGTAGCAGGAAAAAAAATAAACATTAGGAGTAATTTTCCATAATCTCTTTATATGCTGACTCACATGGGAGGACATATTTTCAAAGAAGAAAAAACTGGAATGAACTATAAATGACACATACTAATTTTAAGTGCCATAAAATTATGTGTAATGCAAAATACATGATTATTACCTTAGCACTTAGTGTATACTTTATACTATTCATATACACAAACTTTAAAGTGTTAACTTTTAGTAACAACATACTTTTTTGATGCAAAATGTAGACATGCAAAATTTGTCAATGCTTTATCTAGATCTAATCTCTTTTATGCAAATAGACATTCTATTCACTCTGTTTAAAAATTGTTTCAAATGAACCTTGAATAGTAAGACTAGCATCTTCAGAATTCCCTCTCTATTCAGTACTCTCTGAGTTATAGCATCTCCAAGATTTCAACTTCATATGAAACACGACAGTGACTTTTCTGGAGTATTAATTGCGTTCAAGTTACAATATGGTGCCATTTTTTAGTTCTCCTTTAAAGTACTTTTGAAAAACTAGAAAATGATACAGCTTTTCTTTGGTGGTAATCTATCTCTCTGTAAATCCCCTAACGGCAGATACTTCCCCCAACATTCAACACTTTTCATCTCTTATCTGGCTGCCCTGCCCAACAGCTCTCCCTGCAGACTTTTTTTCTTGAACTGCTCTCGCAATTTAATGCTTCAGGAGCTTGCCTACTCTAAATTAAAGTTTTAACTATCAGCTTGAAAATTAGCCAAGTAAATTAAATCCCCAAGTGTTAATGACTAATTATATAGCTCGGTGGGTGCTCTCACTGAGGTGTTCCATATTTTTTTTTAAGGACTTTTTAGGCACAAAGACTTCATTCAAGGTAATGAAGTTCTATATATAGAATTGCAAGTACAATGTCAGGTACCACTGGCTTTCTGTAAGACTTTTTGATGGTCCTTAGGTCAGATCTATTCAGTGCACTCTTTTTTTTCTTGTTGGAATGCTAAAATAAAGTTTTCCTTCAGAAAAGTACATATACCAATTAAAAGATATTTTAGAAAGTACTTGTCACAATTTCCATCTCATAGTGTTTGATCAATCCAATAATAATTTATTTACTTTTAGAAAGTCTTATTGATGGTGGTATAAAAGGGTGGTCCCTAGGAAAAGGGAAGTTCCAGGTTCCCTGCCTCACCCAGGAGGATGGAGCTGAGAAGAGAAAAAGAAGAGAAGAAAAGAAGAAGAAGAAAAAAAAAAGAAGCCAGATGGAGAACAAGGAGGAGACCTGAGGAAGCCATATGGAGCAGCAAGCATGTGATGAAGAAACTGTGCTTGTTTCCTGACACTGGACTGGTTAAGGCAGATGTGAGTGAGATACCTGTAGGAAGGCGACTGTGGCAGTGTTTATATTGATTTTGATTTTGCTCTTTTCCTCCCAGATTTGTCTGGCCATGTCTGACCCTTTTCCATGGGTCCTGGCCAGAAGGTGCTTTAGTCTTGTGGTGGGCTTTCAGGTGTTGCTTTGGGCTAATCCCTTTTGGGTTGACTTTTGCCCACGAGGGGATGGGTAACTTTAGGTGTTTGATTTAGAAGTTATATTCTCTGTGTTCTGTATTGTATATTCACTGTATTAAAGTCCCTTTTCATTAAAATTTTATATGTTTTGTCTTGACGCGCAGATGGCAGAACCCACTTAGAACAGGCAGGTTTGGGGCTTCAGGGGTGTCCCACTCCCCCTGCCCTGTAACAGATTTGGGGAGCCCTGTAACTGGGAGAACATTTTGTCACTCACTTAATATCAATGAATATAATGTACAGGATTAACAAGTGGAGGGACATGAAGGCCCAAAATATCAAAGGGGTTTGAATCCTCTTGGTTGGAATTCTTCAACCTAGTTAATTACACAAGTCGTCGATTTGTCACGTTTGCAATCAGGTTTAATATATTTGACCAGAGGGAGAACTCTTGGAGTGTGGGTGAGAAGAAATTGATCAGAAAAAAAAAAAAAAAGAGAGAGAGAGAGATGGAAAATTAGAATGATCCCAGAAAGGATGGGATTTAGCATGGAGATCAGAAATAAATGGAAAGTTCCTGCATCACTGAACATTTATTTTTGCCTCTCACTTGTCAGGGATCCTCGACTGCGTCTTCTCCGGAAGGGTGCGCCTTCTTGATACATTCCAGATTCTGATTATCTCAGGAATATGAGCTGCCCTCACTTCCGACCTCTTTTATCACAAACTGCCTTAAGGCGGGGGAGTAGAAAAAGATGGGGGAGAATAGTAGAGACGCTACCGGCCTCTTAGAGCACAACATCTGCTGTGTTCAGTGGGGAGCGTCTGTCAAACTGTGGGAGGAAAAATCGCTTCGAGCCACCAGCCTCGTATTCGAAACTCGCCCAAACCACCCTCTCCCCGCCCCCTGGGCTTCTGCTGGTTAGGGAGGTGGGGCTGAAAGGCAACTTTTGGGAACTTGAACTAGAGGCTCGCGGGGCGAGGTGGGACGATCCAGGAAACGTGACCCCACTCCGTCTAGGCTCGCGACGCTCCAGCCACCGCCGCTCGCAGGGGGCGGGCCCCGCCTGGGGCCA